TGTTTGTGTGAATACATCTCCATATTTATCCATTATTTAGTGACATGGGAGAGCTTGGCAGTTTATAATCCATTAAATTCAGGCTCACAGCAGTGATCAAAGACCCCACATCCCTCACAAATCATTCCCTGTTACCTGAAACCAGGAACGACAGAGGGAATCGTGGCCTCTTTTTGCAGGAAAACAGCTGAATGTTGGAGCTTCTCTCCTGCTTGTTCCTATTAACATTTCATCAATGGAATTCCAGGAGAATTAGTAGGTGAATCTCGGGATTCTGTGGATTTATGTTGTGCAGCTTCTGGGAAAATGTCCCTGTTTTCCAAGGACGCTTTGCTGAGTTAAAAGGGGGCACTCGGAGTGTCCTGAAGTCACAGGGAAATTCCTGCAGGTTCATTCCTGGAAAATGAGATGCAAGAAGAGACAAGGAGAAAAAACCTGGGGGTTTGGGAGATGGAGCAGAGGAAAGTCAGGAAGCAAAGGTGCTTCAGCTGCAGTTGGATGAAGCTGCTCCGTTCCACGGCCACGGCTCCGTCGTGGCAAGTCGGGAGCCAAGGAAAAGTCTGCAGCAAATGGAGCTGAAGAGTCAAGGATTAAACAATCTCTGCTGATTTCCTGGAGGGTTTGTGCTGCTGGATGGATTTGCCTAAAATAAACTGCTGCATGCCTGGGAAAAAGGGCAGAGCATCCCTGAGTGCTGCTCCCTGGGGAACGGCTGGGGCTGCAGAGCCAGGGGTTTGTATCCCCCGTTACCCACCTTTCCATGAAATGGGATTTTCAAAAAGCAGAGGAGGAGGTTCAGCACCAGGTTCCCAGTCCTGGGGGTGCCAGGCTTTTAGGGAGGAGGATTATCCTGGAGAATTCCTTGCCAGCGTGTTGGATGGGGCCTGGAGTGAGCAGGGGCAGGTCCTGCCCGTGGCAGGGCTGGAATGGGATGAGCTGGAGGGTCCTTCCAACCCAACCCATCCCAGGATTCTGCCATAGGAAGAACAGGGGTCTTTGGGGCAGTTTGTGGGGTTTAAGGGCTGGTTTTCCTGCTGGGACTCAGCTGGAGCTGAGTTCCTGCCCACAGGGAGGTGGGAGGGAGGGACTGGGCAAACCTCGGGAAGCTGCTCAGCTTCCATAAAAAACTGAGGATTTGGCATGTTGGCAGAGCTCCCTCCTGCACAGGAACGTTATCCAAGGCCTCCTCTGTCCAAATGGAAGTTACACAACCCTCTTCTTCTGACTCTGTAGTGATTCCAGGTGGTTTGGAGTCGGTTCATCTCCCTTTGCAGCCCGGGAGCAGCTGTGCCTGCGGATCCCTGCGAGGGATCGGGGCTGGAGCGTGGGCTGGAGTGTGGAATTCTGCCCTGGGAACCCAATCCTGCCAGGAAAACATCACCCCCCGAGTGCAGCCCAACATCCAAACCCCCCTCATCCCACGGAACCGCAGTGGGCCCTCTCCCAGTTCCAAGGAGGCGGCAGGACCCGACTCCTACGCTCCCAAAAATCCCCGCGGAACAGGTTGGTGGCATCTCCAGCCCGGAAGGCCGAGGCAGAAGAGGTTTGAAGGCCAGAGATGGACCAGTGGGAAAAATGTGGAGCTTTGGGAACCGCCTCCTGACTTCCATTTCCTACGTTCCAGGATATCCAGGTGGAGGAAAACCTTTCCCCCCTTGTTTCTGAGGCTCTTTCCTTCCTCGGGGTTGAATTCCCGTGTCTTGAGGTTGAGCTGCAGAAGGGAAACTTGCTGTGGAAGAGAGTTGGAGACTTTTTTTTTATTTTTTTAAGATAATTGTGATTTAACCTAAATTTTCAAGCCCAGAGTCACAGGATGGATCCAGACTCTTTTTTTGGCCACAGTAAAAGGAACTTTCAAGCTTCAAATTTCAGCTGTTGGACAAACTGAAAAGAGCCATTACTGTGCCCTCCACCCTCCATTAACTGTTTTGAAACATTGTGCAGCACAAAGAAATAACTTTTTTTTTTTTTGCTTATTTCAACACAATTACTGCCTCTTGAAAAAAAGGGATTCCTGGAGGGGATTCCTGGATACCCTTAGTAAGGATGAACCACTTCAACCTCCGGTAGACGGGGCTGGAATTAGATCAAGTGCTCCAGGAAATGACAGAAATACCCCTTAAAAAAGGAAAAAAGCCAACCCAAAAAATCAACAAACTCCCGAATTTGTCAGATTTTACCAACTGGGTTTCAGCCCCAAGCCCTGGAGCAGAGAGTGTGTCCGTAGGGATGTGGAATGGCCTGCAAGGGGACACAGGGAATGGTGTGGATCCGTCCCTGCTGCTGCTCTCTGGATCCTCCAAGTCCTGGAGTGGTCCCTGATCCTTAAAAACTTGGAGTAGAACGCTTGGAAAACAGGAATTTATTTTTCAAGCAGGGATTACTGTAAAAATGTCACCAAAACAAGGAATTTGGCACCGCAGGAGGATTTCACTGCCTGCGTTTCCCGCTGGCTTTGGGGATGAAGTTTGTGGGATTTAACTGGCAAAACTCTTCCACTTGGACGTGACCTTCCCAATGGAACATGTGGATCCTCCAGATTTTAACCTGAACCTGAAGAAGAAACTGAAATATTCGGGAATTCTGTTCCCCCCAAAGAAAAGCTGCTTTGAGGGATCAACCCCAAATTCCGTTTTATCAACGAGGATTTTGTGGGTTCTGTGTTGGCATTCCAGGTATTGGAGATGTTCATCCCAGGTTTGTTGGGAGCAGGGAACCAAAGGCTCTGGGAGGTAAGAACACAGAATTATTCCACCTTTTTCCAGGAATCCTCTTTGCTCTTCGCTGACCCCAAGGGAGAATTCCCTGGCAGCGTTTTCCCTGCTCAGCAGTTGCTCTGCCCTTGGACTGGTGATTTTCTGTTGTTTATTCGATATTTAATATTAATCACCTCCTGGACTTCAATAATTCACTGTCAGGGATTCAAATATAATTCACAGTTTGTCCTCAAGGAGCTTTTCTGTCACTTCTCGTTCTGTTCTGCTCCTCCTGGGCATCAGCTCTGGAAGTTGGGAGAGAAAAAAAGGTAAAAAATTAGGGATTAAAAAGGTAAAAGGTAAAAAAAATTGGGATTAAAAAGGTAAAAGGTAAAAAAAAATTGGGATAAAAAAAAGTAAAAGACTTTATTTCAGGCCTCTGTGTATTCCTGGCCATGTTCTAAAAACCAGTTTTAAGTTCCTGGTGTAAAATCCAGCTCAGCCTTTGGGCTGGACTTGAATAAACCCAGGATTTGGGGGTTCCTTTGGTCTCCCCAGTGCTGCTCCAGTGATCCCTGAACAGCAGAAAATCAAGGAGCAGGAGGTTCCAAACACATTTTCCAGGGCTAATTCCAGAGTCTAAACATCAGCTCTGCTGGGACAGACTTATTTGCAGGATGAGGTGCCAGACAGGGCTTGGTTTGAAGGCTCAGGAGAAGGAGGCACAGGGACAGGGATCTCCTGGATCTCCTCTGTTCCCATTCCTGCAGCTTGGACACCCTCCCCTGGTGGGAATATTGAACATCCTGATCCTTAGAAAGCGATATTCCCAAAATGGGATCACACCCAGGCTCCCAGAGGTGCCCATTCCGTGGCCTCCACCCTCCCTGTGCTCTTCAGGATTTATGGAAAATATGGAAAACTTTCCATTGTTCCCTTGCATTTCCTGACATTGAGGTTCAAGCTCTACTGATTTTTTGGTAATATATAGAAATATATTATTTAAATGCGATATTTTCAGTGGTTTTTCCTCAGTGAAAATCCTTGTGGGAGCAATTTCATCCAAGGTTCAAGATTCCCTGGCAAAATCCCTCGTCCAGGACATTCTCTTTAGAAACAATCACTTGGTGAAGCTGCAGAATTCCACTGAAAATATGAATTCTGTGATGGAGAAACTGCCTTTGGTTGTTCCTTCCTGGGAAATAAGTGCCAGGGATTTCTAAGCAGGAAAAATGAGGCATTTTTAGCCAATTCTTCAAATTTAATTGGGATTTTATTTCTTTCTGTGCTCTGTTACTCCCTTAAACTCTGCTCTTTGCACAGGGAAGGCAAAAGGTGATGAAAGTATCCCTTGGGAATAGGGTTGGGAGTGGGATGTGCCAATAATAAACTGGGAACATCAGTGAGGCAAAACTGGGAGGGTTGGGGCTTCCCAGAGATTGGAGCTGTCAGGGGAGCAGAGAATGAGGGAATTGCTGATGGATCTCCTGGTGGACGCTGTGGTTTGCAGGGAATGTGTGTCCAGCACTTCCTGGGAGGTAAATCATGATTAATGCGGGAATTAACTGTGGGAATTACATGGAATTACTGGGAATTGCTGTCAGGAGGGTGTTGGAGGTGATGTTCCCATTGGAAAGGCTCCACCAGGAACACATGGGGTGCTTTTCCCATTGGAGAGGCTCCACTAGGAGCACGTGGGGTGATGTTCCTGTTGGAAAGGATCCACCAGGAACATGAGGGGTGATGTTCCTGTGGAAAGGCTCCACCAGGAGCACCTGGGGTGCTTTTCCCATTGGAGAGGCTCCACTAGGAGCACGAGGGGTGATGTTCCTGTTGGAAAGGCTCCACCAGGAGTGTGTGGGGTGATGTTCCTGCTGGAGATGTTCCACCAGGAGCACAAGGGGTGATGTTCCTGTTGGAGATGCTCCACCAGGAGCACAAGGGTGCTTTTCCTGCTGGAGATGCTCCACTAGGAGCATGAGGGGTGATGTTCCTGCTGGAGATGTTCCACCAGTAGCACCAGGGGTGCTTTTCCCACTGGAGATGCTCCACCAGGAGCACGAGGGGTGATGTTCCTGTTGGAAAGGCTCCCCCAGGAGCACGTGGGGTGATGTTGCTGTTGGAAAGGCTCCCCCAGGAGCACGTGGGGTGATGTTGCTGTTGGAAAGGCTCCCCCAGGAGCACGTGGGGTGATGTTCCTGTTGGAAAGGCTCCCCCAGGAGCACGAGGGGTGATGTTCCTGTTGGAAATGCTCCCCCAGGAGCTGCCCTGTGCCCCCCTCACGCTGTGCCCGCTGTGTTGCAGGTATGGTGTGAATATGCGTTGCTTGGCAGCTCGGGTCAACTACAAGACTCTGATCGTCATCTGTGCCCTGTTCACGCTGGTGATGGTGCTGCTGTGGAACCGCTGCTCCTCGGACACCTCCGGCCCCTTCCCGCGGATCCCGCCGGGGCTGGAGCGCCGCGGGATGGCCGAGGACGAGCCCAGGCAGCACAGTGAGGAGACCTCCCCCCAGGAGCAGCAGAAAGCCCCCCCCGTGGCCGGGGCAGGCAGGGCCCCCGCGCCCAAGTACGAGGAGATTGACTGTGTGATCAACGAGGAGCACACCGTGAAGGGCAGGAGGGAGGGCAACGAGGTGTTCCTGCCCTTCAGCTGGGTAGAGAAATACTTTGAGGTTTATGGGAAAATTGCTCAGTACGATGGTTATGACAGGTTTGAATTCTCTCATAGCTACTCCAAAGTATACACACAGCGGGCTCCCTACCACCCCGACGGGGTCTTCATGTCCTTCGAGGGCTACAACGTCGAGGTCCGTGACAGGGTCAAGTGCATCAGCGGGGTTGAAGGTGGGTGGAGTGTTTTCTTCTCCTTTGGTGTGGAAACGCTGCTTGGGATTTGCTCTGCGAGGCCATCCAGGGTTTGGGTTGGTGGGAGAACAGCCTGGGGTGATTCGGTGCAAAGTGTGAGGGGGGAACGTGAGGGTGGAGAAGGGAAAACTGTGAGGGAAATGTTGGTGTCCAGTGAAAAGGTTGGAGAGGATCAGAGAATCAATCCTAGACTCGGGTGGAAGGAGTTTTAAAGCTCATCCCATTCCACCCCCTGCCATGGGCAGGGACACCTTCCCCTATCCCAGGTCACTCCAAGCCCCATCCAACCTGGCCTTGGACGCTTCCAGGGATCCAGGGGCAGCCACAGCTTCTCTGGGCAACCTCATGCCAAGTCTTCCCAGCTCCATAGGGAAGTGTCAGCCCATCCCTGGAAGTGTCCAAGGCCAGGTTGGATGAACCTGGAGCAACCTGGGCTAGTGGAAGGTGTCCCTGCCCATGGCACGGGTGGCACTGGATGGGCTTTAAGGCCCCTTCCAGCCCAACCCATTCAGTGATTCCATGATGATTCCCAGTTTTCCCAGTTGCAGTGAGCTCCAGAGGTGCTGGGACACTGCTCTGGCAGTGCTGCTGCCAGGGTTTGGCATCGCTGTTGACACTTGAGTCTCTCAGGGAGCCACGATTATTTTATGATATGAAGAGTTAAAATATTATATTTTTTAAAAAAAGAAAAAATAAAACTACAGAGTAAAAAAGTTACTTTAAAATTTAAATTCAGAATTAAATTTTAAAATCATTTTAGAAGGCCAGCAAGCCTGGCCTTGGTTTCTGAGGAGGCTCCTGCTTCCCTGTGGACACGGATAAATCCATGGGCTGAGCGCTTCTGGCACCTCTGGAACAACCTAGCTGCTCTCAGGCACCTTAATTTTGGGGGTTAAATCCGTGGGAGGAGGTTTTGGAGAACAGCCCAAGGGTCAAGCAGCTCTCCAGCCCCTGGATTATCCCTGGATAACAGGGAGATGCAGTCAAACCTTCCCAATTTGAGCCATCACTAATTAACCCTCGGGGTCCTCCCACGGCTCGGCGGAGATTTGATGGCAGAAAATTCTTCTTGGCTTCCCATTAAAAAATTAATGACTTTGTGAAGCACTTACAGAGTGTGCCACCGTGACCCCTCATAAATTAAAGACCAACTTTCACTTAAGGAATAAAACCCATTAATTCTCCTGCCTCTGGTGCTGTTCCCGGGGTGTGGATTCCAGCTCTTCCCGGCACACGGACACGGCAGGAGCTGCTGGGCCTGGGAGTTAATTGGCTGGGAAGGTTCACATGAGGAGATATGTAGGATATGGAATTTTGGGGAGGGAGTTTGAGGCTATTCTCACATTTTTATTGTTATTTTTTAACTCTCGTCCTCGTTACACCTGGGAAGGAGGGATGAGGAGGTGGGTTGGGAACAGCAGCCTCGGGAACACCAGGGGCCTGTGGAGCTGCTCCCTGCTCAGCCCTTGAGGCTCCAGGGAGTTGAACACTGGATAATGGGGTTGGTTGTCCAGGAATGTTGGGGGTTTGCAGCCTGTGATTTAAATGTGGTGGCAGAGCCTGGGTGGGGAAGGCAACAGAGCTCTGGGAATGCAGCAAAGAGGATGGGAGGATCCCAGATTCCCAGAATGGTTTGGGTGGGAGGGACCTCAAAGCCCATCCATCCAACTCTCTGCCATGGGCAGGGACACCTCCCACTAGCCCAGTTTGCTCCAAGCCCCGTCCAGCCTGGCCTTGGACACTTCCAGGGATCCAGGGGCAGCCACAGCTTCTCTGGGAATTCCATTCCAGGGCCTCCCCACCCTCCCAGCCAGGAATTCCTTCCCAATCTCCCATCTCTCCCTGCCCTCTGGCACTGGGAAGCCATTCCCTGTGTCCTGTCCCTCCATCCCTTGTCCCCAGTCCCTCTCCAGCTCTCCTGGAGCCCCTTTAGGCCCTGGAAGGGGCTCTCAGGTCTCCCTGGATCCTTTTCTCCAGGTGAACAATCCCGATTCTCTTTCCACCTTTGTCGGGAAGGGATTTTAATATTAAACCAGGTTCTCAGACACCTTTAGGCTCTTACTTTGCACTATCCCAGCCCTGGAAGTTCTCACAGTCCTGTGAGATTATTCCTTTAACTTTCATCCTCGTTCCAGAGGCTGTGGCTGCCCCATCCCTGGAAGTGTCCCAGGCCAGGCTGGATGGGGCTTGGAGCAGCCTGGGATAGGGGAAGGTGTCCCTGCCCGTGGCAGGGGGTGGGATGGGATGGGTTTTAATTCCCTTCCAACTCAAACCATTCCTTCATGTTCTGTGTTCTCTCCTCTCTCTCCCAAGGGGTTGTTCCATCCTGTGTCCTGCAGAATTTCACCCTGTCAGGTTGGATGAATATCAAGTGAAGCTTTTATAGCAAATTTCCTTCTTTTTTTCCATCTTTCACTCCCCGGGAATGTCCCTTTAACTGGAAATGCTCAGCATTAATGAGCCTCCAGGGGCTCACATAAGATGGAATATTCAAACCTTCCTGGGATGGTTTATCCCATCAGTGATAATCATTAGCACCAACAAATGTATGAAAACAATGAAAATATATCTTTTTATATTTAATTTAAGTCATCTTTTCACTGTTCCACCCTGAAGAACAAATTGGTTCCTGAGCCTGACGTTGCCAAGGGGGAAATGGTGCAAGTGCCAACTTGATTTTCCCCTTTCAGTGCCAAACGTCCTTGGTTTGCTGCAGGAAGGACCTGGTGATCTGTTCCCACTTTGGATTTGTATTTAGAGGTCGGGAATTTGTTCCACAGAAAATTCAGGACTTTAGGATTTAACCATACTTTAAATATCCTTTGTTTGTTTCTGGAGGAACATGTGCAAATGAGGCTCCCCCACGCAGCTTGTTCCCACTTCCTGGGTTTTCCACCCAAATCCTGGGAGCTGGGAAGGGCAGGTAGAGCTCTGCAGGGATTTCTGCAGGTGCATCCCAAGGATGCTGATGGAGGGTGGCAGTTTTATGCCACACTGAGCTCCTCCCAAGGGTTTTCCTGTGAAAACCCGTAAAATCCCATTAAAAACCCATAAATCAGGGTGCAGATGATGAACTCTGAGATTTTCCTGCCTGATTCCTCTGAGGTGCCTCCAGGGGGTTCTTTTAGATCTAAAATCACCCAAAGCCCAAACTAAGGGAGAGACCTTTGTGAGGCCACAGGCTTTTGGGACAATCCCAGGGAAGGCTGGGATGAAGACAAGGGACAGCTTTGCGGGGTGGAATTAGGGCAAATCCTTCTTGGAGAGCCTGCTGGCTCCTGCAGGCACCACTCCAGGCAGGAACACTCCCAGGAGAGCTGGGTAATGGGAGGGATTTGTGGCTGAGGGTAAATCGCTCTCTGAGCAGCAAATAACTCTTAGAAAAATCTCCCAATAACAGATGCACTTAATTTGCAAAGATTTACTGACGTTAAAGGGATTGCGGGGATGGAAAAGCGTTTGGGGATTAACTGCTCTCAGGAGCAGGGGGGAAAAATCTGTTCAGGCTTGGAAAATGTGTTTTGAGATAAGTGGGAGGCTCCAGTGACAATGGAAGGAGGATGGAGCCAGGCTGGGAGAGCTGGGGGGGTTCACCTGGAGAAGAGAAGGCTCCAGGGAGACCTGAGAGACCCTTTCAGGGCCTAAAGGGGCTCCAGGAGAGCTGGAGAGGGACTGGGGACAAGGGAGGGAGGGACAAGACCCAGGGAATGGCTTCCCAGTACCAGAGGGCAGGGATAGATGGGATATTGGGAAGGGATTCTTGACTGTGAGGGTGGGGAGGCCCTGGAATAGAATTCCCAGAGAAGCTGTGGCTGCCCCTGGATCCCTGGAAGTGTCCAAGGCCAGGTTGGAGCAACCTGGGCTAGTGGGAGGTGTCCCTGCCCGTGGCAGGGGATGGAATGGGATGAGCTTGAAGGTCCCTTCCAGCCCAAACCATTCCATGAGTCTGTGAATGTAGGGAAGCCCATGATAAGGATTCCTCTGCCACTCCAAAGTGCTGAGTTTGAACTAGTTATGGATCTTGGTGGCAAAGGGAACAGTTCAGTCCCTGACCAGGACTGAGATGGTGACCCCTCCACGCCCCGTGTGTGCAGGGGAAGCAGTGCTGGCTCTGCAGGAGGACTCAGCAGAGCTCCAGCCCTGTGGGTTTTGGCAAGGTGCTGACCACTGCTCCTTCTCCTTCCTCCCCCAGGAGTTCCCCTCTCCACCCAGTGGGGGCCCCAGGGCTACTTCTACCCCATCCAGATCGCCCAGTACGGGCTGAGCCACTACAGCAAGAACCTGACGGAGAAGCCGCCGCACGTGGAGGTTTATGAGACAGCCGAGGACAAGGACAGGGGCAGGGCCGGGGACTGGGCCGTGCCCAAGGGCTGCTCCCTGACCACGGTGTGGGACAAAGCCAAGCTCACCGGGGTCAAACAGTTCTCTGCTCCAGGTGGGTTGTCCTGAAGGTGTCACAGGTAACCTGTTCATTTGAACATGCTGTGCCAGAGGAGCCTTAACTTCTTGGGATTCATGTGTTTGTTTTCATTTACCCTTCATTCCCATCCTTCATTCCCCATCCTTGATTCTCTATCCTTTATTCCCCATCCTTTTGATTCCCCGTCCTTTTCATTCCCCATCCTTTTCATTCCCTGTCCTTTGTCCCCTATCTTTGATTCCCCATCCTTGATTCCCCATCCTTGATTCCCCATCCTTGATTCCCCATCCTTCATCCCCTATCCTTCATCCCCTATCCTTCATCCCCTATCCTTCATCCCCTATCCTTCATTCCCCATCCTTCTTTTCCTGTCCTTCATTCCTTATCCTTCTTTCCCCATCCTTCATCCCCCATCCTTCATCCCCCATCCTTCATCCCTATCCTTTTCATTTCCTATCCTTTTCATTCCCCATCCTTGATTCCCCATCCTTCATCCCCCGTCCTCCATTCCCCATCCACCTCACCTGAGAGCTCACCCCCCTTCCCTCAACCCCTCAGGGCCTCTGGAGATCACCTCATCCAAGGCCCTGATTCCTGTCCCTCTGGAGTTTTCCCTGTTTTCTCCCCCCCACTGGCTTCCAACCCTGTTCTATTCCAACCCAAAGGCTGGATGTGCTCATGGAGGGGATGAGGAGTCACATTTCCCAAACCTTCCAGCTCCTGTCCCAAAATAGCAGCTGCAGGAGGAGGTGGGAGCGTGTGGGGTGTGCCAGGGGATGGGACAGGTGGCACAGAAGGGCTGTTTCCAGCCCGGAGCACGGGCAGGACCGGGAGCTCTCTCTCACTGGGATACAACTGTGCTTGTAAAATTTAGGGTCTTAATTCTGCCTAAACCCAGGTAGAATTACAGAATATATTGAGTTGGAAGGCACCTCAAGAATTAAGTCCCTGAGGACACCCCAAAATCCCTCCCTGTGCCCGAGAGTGTTGTCCAAACCCTCCTTGGGGCTGTGCCCTCTGCCCTGGGGAGCCTGTGTAGTGCCCAGACACCCTCTGGGGGAAGAACCTGCTCCCAGTATCCATCCCAAACCTCCCTGACACACCCTAAAATTGCCTTAGAGAAAGAAGAAGAGTGTTTTGGGGTCTCCCAGTTGTTCCCTTCACCACATTTTGCTGCCACCTCCCTGATTCCCCCTGTTCTGTTTGGTATTTAGGAGGGAAACCCATTATTTAATCCAAGAGTTCCCCTTGTGCCAGGCCAGGCTCATTAATAAGGCCCTAATGTATTTTCCCTCAATCAATACCCACTGGAATTAATGAGTCCATTACTTCCAAGGACAATGAAGTAATTTTCTGTTGGCACCTCGGCCCTGGGGCTCCCGGGAAAAGGTTGTCCAACACTTTTGTGTCTTTGTAGTGGATAAATACAGGGAGAGGGGAGGATAAAAGGTCTGGGCTGTGTTCTCTCCTCATCCTTTATTGATGGCTGGGTAATCCATGGATATGGATATGCATCCACTCCTCTGAGCAGGCCCTAAGTAATGGATTTATGGATGCTTAAGGCACAGCAGCCACGAGCAGCCTTTAGTTCCTTGCTTCTCCAAACTCTTTTTCCTCCCTCTTTTCTAATTCTCTTTGTTATAATTTATTTACAAGGAACCATAAAACTCACTTGACAGGCACTGTGAGAGGGGGGAGGTTAATTAGGTTTTTTTCCACAGGAGCAAAACGTGGTGGCCCAAAGCGCTCGGTTCCTTCTCTCAGAGCAGAGGCTGAGCTTAAAACTCCCAGCTTTTCCTTGAAAAGCTTGGAAAACATGACATTCAGTCAAAAAAATTGGGACTGGACAACAGAGCCTGTACAGGAGGTGTTTTAAAATTCCAGGGATTAGTTTGGGAGGCAGGAAAAGCTGCCCATGACGTGCTGGTTGCACGGAGAAACGTGTCCGGGGTATTTCCCACATCCCAGAGCAGAAATAAGGAAACAATGGCCTTTTCCAGGAGAGTTTTATCCCATGGAAAGCCCTTAATTTGATGTGACACTCTGTAAGTGTTCATCATCCCTCTGTGCATTCAAACCTCCAGGATTTGCTCTCAGCCTTCCAAATTAATTATCCTTTTGATCTCCCGCTGTAGGTTTTGTGGGAGAAGTTGATATTTTCAAATCCAGAGAACACTGGATTTTATTCTGTGGCAGTGCCTGGGAGCTTTATTTAATTTATAGCTTAAAATTAAGCTGAGTTTTGCCAATGCAGAGGTTAAGAAATATTTTAACGCACTCATCTTTATTCCTTGGTTTTTCCCCCCATTAAACTAATCGGGTTTTGGCTCTGTCAGGTTGGGAAAGAAAAAAATCCCAGAAACAGTCCCAGGAGGATCCTAAATACCTGCTTCTGGCATTCCTGGTTTTTTTTCCCTTTGCTGAAAGCAGAGCTTTATTCAGGAATGTGAGGCTGCAGCAGCGCCGGGTTTTGGTGTCGTTGTGCCAAGGGAGGTTTTAATTTGGGAACAAAAGGGTGGTTGTTGGTTTATTATTGAGTTACAGCAGAGGAAAATCAGGGAGCATCTCAGTTCTTGCTGTGCCCCATCCTGGAGGAAAGGTGCTGCTCTAGGGGAAGGTGTTCCTGCCCGTGGCAGGGTGGTTTGAGACGAGCTTTAGGGTCCCTTCCAGCCCACCCCATTCCAGGAGGGGCCCTGTGCCCTGCCAGGCTGGTGGCCTGTCCCCAACCCTGGGTGCTGCTGGGTCATGGCTCCCCTCCATCCATGAGGTACCAGAAACATCCCATAAAACGCTGGATGGAGCCCCTGGCACTGCCGCAGCCCTTTAATGGGAGGCACAAACAGGTTCTCCCCTTCGCTCCCAGATTTACTTTTATGCTTAATTAAATAATGTGCAACAGCCCAGAAACGACTGAATTATTGATGGGCTGCCCTGAAAGCTTTGGGCTCCTGCCTGGGGAGGGGGTGGTTCCCCGGGGGAGCTGCCCTGCCCAGCTGTGGGGCGCTGAGCTGTCGGGTTTGTTCGCAGACACCAGCGAGGGGGTGTCCCTGCAACTGGGGAACACCCGGGACTTCATCATCTCCTTCGACCTCAAGTTCGTGACCAACGGCAGCATTTCGGTGGTGCTGGAGACGACAGAGAAGAACCAGCTGTTCACGGTGCACTACGTGTCCAACACGCAGCTCATCGCCTTCCGCGACAGGGACATCTACTACGGCATCGGGGCGCGCACCAGCTGGAGCACCCTGACCAGGGACCTGCTCACCGACCTGCGCAAGGGCGTGGGGCTCTCCAACACCAAGGCCGTCAAGCAGACCAAGATCATGCCCAAGCGGGTGGTCCGGCTGGTGGCCAAGGGCAGGGGCTTCCTGGACAACGTCACCATCTCGGCCACGGCGCACATGGCCGCCTTCTTCGCCGCCAGCGACTGGCTGGTGAGGAACCAGGACGAGCGGGGCGGGTGGCCCATCATGGTGACCAGGAAGCTGGGGGAGGGCTTCAAATCCCTGGAGCCGGGGTGGTACTCGGCCATGGCGCAGGGCCAGGCCATGTCCACGCTGGTGCGGGCCTACCTGCTGACGCGGGACGCGGCCTTCCTGGGCGCGGCCCTCAGGGCCACCGCGCCCTACAAGCTGCCGGCGGAGCAGCGCGGGGTCAAGGCCGTGTTCATGAACCGGCACGACTGGTACGAGGAGTACCCCACGTCCCCCAGCTCCTTCGTGCTCAACGGCTTCATGTACTCCCTCATCGGGCTCTACGACCTGAAGGAGACGGCGGGCGAGAAGCTGGGCCGGGAGGCGCGGCTGCTCTACGAGCGCGGCATGGAGTCCCTCAAGGCCATGCTGCCGCTCTACGACACCGGCTCGGGCACCATCTACGACCTGCGCCACTTCATGCTGGGCACGGCGCCCAACCTGGCCCGCTGGGACTACCACACCACCCACATCAACCAGCTGCAGCTCCTCAGCACCATCGACGACTCGCCCATCTTCAAGGAGTTCGTCAAGAGGTGGAAGAGTTACCTGCGGGGCGGGCGGGCCAAGCACAACTGAGCTGCCACCAAAGCCGCCGGCCGGGTGACGGCCCCGCTTCTCTACGGCCCGTTCGAAGAAGTGATCCTTAGAACTGCTCTCCTGAAATCACTGCATTCCAGGGTGGGAACCTTTGGGTCCGAGCGGTGGGGCCGGGGAGCGTCACCCGTCCCCTGCGCTCCGCCAAGCGAAACCCCCCCGTGCTCCTGAGTCTGAGGCTGGGTTTTGTCGGGTTTTAGTTTTCCTTTTTGCAGGAAAATGTTTGCAGAAGCCATAGAGGTCTCGAAAGTCCCGCAGGCCTCGCCTGAAGAGTTAATCCGTGGCCTCTTAAACTGAGTCTATGTGTCTCTGTGGGAACAGCTCCTGTGGTGTGACGCCGTCGATGTGACTTCACTCGTAGCCTGGGTAGTGCACAGTGTATCTTTTAAAGGCGGGGGTGTTTTTTAATAGGAATTCTTTTCTCGGGGTGACAAACACACCTTTTTAAGTTTTTCCCCAGTCCTCTGGCTGGAGATCCTTTAGCTGGAGGGTTTCTCCCCAGACGTGTGGGCGGAGGACGCGCGGCCGGCGCCACGTAAGCACAACTCGGTGAGGCTCGCGGGGCCCCCGGAGCCTGAGCCTCATCACCCCCAGGTTCACCATCACCCCTCACTGGTGTCACCTCAGAGCTTGGATCCCTCCTCTGGAGCCTGATGTCCTGTCTTGGGTTTTGTGATTCCCTCTGAGAGGTTTCTCTGAGCTTTGGCCGCTTCTTTTTGGGGACACTCATGGCGAGTTGCTGAGCGGGACGTGGAGCTCGTCCCGAGTCGCTCAGGAAATTCGGTTGGGGTTCATTAAGGTTTTCCTGAGGTGATTTTAATTTTTAACCTGCTCGATCCATCAAGCATTTTAGAAATTGAAGTTACCTCAGAGGGCTCTGCAGCTCTGCCTGGGCTTTAATTCCTGAGAGGTTGTGGCTGCCCCATCCCCTTGGAAGTGTCCAAGGCCAGGTTGGACAGGGCTTGGAGCAACCTGGGCTAGTGGAAGGTGTCGCTGGGTTGGAACTGGATGAGCTTTAAGGTCTTTCCATCCCAAACCATTCCAGGATTCCATGATTCACTGTCTTACAGTGTAAGGGGTCATTACACCTCCAGCAGTGGCTTCTTGGGTGTGATTTGCCTTTGTGGCTCTGCCAAGTGACCAGTGGTCCCTGTGCACATCCCAACCCACACATCCCAACCCACACACTGGAATGGAGAAGAAACCAGGTGGATTCTTCCCATTTCCCAGTCCTTTACACCCACATTACTCTGAGGTGTCTGGGGTGATCCAGAGGAGTCAAACCAACCCATGGCTGAGGTTTGCTCTGACCCCAAACTCCCGGAGAGGACACGGATTGACTGTGGGGCTCCCACTGCTCCCATTCCATGCTGTCCATGGAGGTGGGGCTTCAGGTGTTCACCCAAACCCCAGGGAGGCCGGGCACAAGGACAACATCCATCTGCATTTGAGCATTGCTTTGATTTTTTTGATGCTTTTTGGGATTTCTGGCAGAGATTTGAAGCAACTTTTGAATTACTTGATGTTCCAGCCCATGCTCCCACCACACGGATCCGTGTGGGACGTGGGGGTGGAGGAGGAATTTCAATACCAAAGGTAGCAGAGGTGATTTTTGTTACATATCTGTGCGCACACAAAACCACCCTAAAAATGTGCTTCCCCCCCAAAAAACTGGTCCTTCCTGCGACATCTCCCTCCTGCTTCTTCCCTCCACCCTGTCCCCGTTTGGGAGTTGGGGAATCTGGAGACACCCTTTGGGTGCTGCTCGAGAGATGGTTTTGGTGCCTTATGGAGGCCACAATTTCCAATTTTTGTTGTTTTTTTTTTCCCTAATTACATCCAATTCCAGGATTGGAGCGTGGCTGATCCGGCTCGGAAGCGCGAGCTGGCCGTGCCAGCACCATCGGTCTTGTCCCACCACCTGATCCTTAACATCCCATTGCATTTTCTTGGCCTTAGCACTGGTGGAGCTCCAAGGATGCCCCACCAGAGGTGGTAGGACCGTGGAGAATCCGTGTGGAGTTTCTCCTGGCATTCCCTCAGTTGAGTTGTGCGGTGGCAGAGGATCATCGGACACGGCACCAACGCCAGCGGCGCCCAAACCTCCACCAAATCCATTTTGACTTTTTTTGGGGTTTTTTGTTGATTTTCACTCTCCAAACCGACACACAGATCTTTGGCACTGAGCCCTCAGACTCCAGACTCCGATCCGAGCTCTCGGAGCCCCGGATCCAGCGAATCCTCCCGCGGGATTTGCCGTCCCTGGACGCCATCAGAGGCGTCGCGCTCGCGGATCCCCCCGACCAGTGACACAAGCACAACCCTCCCAGTGGGCAGGTGCCATTCCCTGGAAGCTGCCATTCCCTGGAAGCTACCATTCCCTGGAAGCTGCCATTCCCTGGAAGCTACCATTCCCTGGAAGCTGCCATTCCCAGGAAGCTGCTCTTCCCACCCCCCTCCTCGTGGGGCTTTGGTTTGCCGGGTTCTCGCTGCGCCGCCGTGGCCGGGCGGGCTCTCCCCGTGTGGTAAATATGCAATAACTTGTTTACAGGATGCTCTGGGCAGGGTGGTCCTTTGTAAAGCTGTACAGCCTTTGCAGTTCAAGCACAATGTGCACAGTTAGTTTTCTATTCAGCCAAACCTGAGTTTTTTGCAGCAGGAAGAGGTTCCTCTATGTTTCTATACGACGTGAAAATGGGTCAGCGTTTGTGCTTCGTGTAAAAGCTGCTTTATAAGACTGTAAAATAAATTTTTTTATCTTAAGGCAAGCACGGGGTGTCTTCTTCTTCTCAGCCACCCCCCCCCTGGTGGCTTTGGGGAGGTTTGGATTCTGAGGAAGGTGGAAAATAACTCATTTTTTCACTGATTTGCTGGTTTGAGGTAAGAAGCACAAATCGATGTTCTCTGTCTGCTGGGGTGAAGGTCACGAGGTGGGTTCCTGGTGGGAGTGATTTCTGCTGAATCTGCTTTGGTTTGAGTTTCATGGGGTTTGTTAAATCATAGTTTTAATTGACTGGTCACTAAAAACACCTGAACAAAAATGGTTGGTAAAGTAAGAAATTCAGGACTCTTAAAGCTCCAGGGAGACCTGAGAGCCCCTTGCAGGGCCTAAAGGGGCTCCAGGAGAGCTGGAGAGGGACTGGGGACAAGGGATGGAGGGACAGGACACAGGAATGGCTTCCCACTGCCAGAGGGCAGGGACAGATAGGATATTGGGAAGGAATTCCTGGCTGGGAGGGTAGGGAGGTCCTGGCACAGGTTGGGCAGAGAAGCTGTGACTGCCCCTGGATCCCTGGAAGTGTCCAAGGCCAGGCTTGGACGGGCCTTGGAGCAACCTGGGACAGTGGAAGGTGTCCCTGCCCATGGCAGAGGGTGAGATGGGATCAAGATCAACTTTAAGATCCAAAAGAAACCACTCCAGGATTCTCCCACTCCTCGGGTGAGAATATTGATTTCCATTCCTTAGCAGTTCGTTAAAACACAGGGATTGAAAATAGAAGTGGATTTAAGTCTGTTGCTTGGTGATGGATTTGGGTGTTTGCTGCTCAGTTCCTGGTGGAAGGAGCCACATTTCCCATCTGCCTGGAGTGACTGATCATCCCATGGATGCCTTGTGCTTCTGGAATGTTAAATAGCTGCTTCTCTCCTTAATCTCTTCCCCAGGCTCTCCCAGGCTGGCAGAGCTTCCCCATCCAAGGGCTTTGGCCCCAGGGACAAATCCCAGCAGGAGTTCTTGGCCGGTCTGTTGTGTCCAGCCCCCAGGACATCCTGCTCCCGGGGCTGGGCTGCGGCTCCAGTCCCCTTTTCCTGCAAAAAAGAGGATTTTCCACTGGGCTTCAACCCCTCGGTGCTGGGAAGTTTCCACTGGTTTGAAACTGGACTGTCACTCGTTGCACAAAGTGTTTTAAAGGACGTGTGGATGTGGCACTTGGGGACACGGTCCAGGGGTGGCCTTGGCAGTGCTGGGGGATGCTTGGATTTGATGATCTTTAAGGGCTTTTCCCACTTGTGATTTTGTGATTCCCTGGGAGGCACCAGGGGCTGGCACAGCCTTTCCAAGTGCTGGTTTGGGAATCAGGAGGTTTCCCAGGGCTGGGAGGAAGGTCCTGCCTCGGGCAGGAGGTCGAAGGACTCGGGATAATCCCTGTCCCCCGTGGCTCTGGCAGAGCTGCTCCTGGGATTATTGCTGAGACTGTGTCCGTGATCATACCAAACGATCCAGAGTAATTTCAAAGCTTTTCCCGGCTCTCTGCCATCCCAGCAGCAGAATTCCAACCTTTCCAGCTCTGATGCAGCCCAGAAACCCAGGCAGGTGAGGGGGCACCTGGAGTCAATCCACATCCTGGGCTCTGCTTTGGGAGGAAAAAAGCCTGGAGAGGGTTCAAAACACACACTCGGTGCCAAAAGTGTGGGGTGGGCACAGAGGGAGTGTTTTCTCCCTGCTCTTCCTGAAATCCTGTGGGTTGGGGACCGTGGGGGGATCAGTCAGTGACAGTCCCCCTGGGAATGGACGTGCCCAGGGCACAGCACAGCAAATCCTCCTTTTGTGCCAACACTGCGGGAGCTGGGGGTGATCCAGAGGCACCTGGTTATCCAGGATGCAGCTCCAAGGAGGAACTGTGATGGAATTGTCCTCCTTGTGGTGCCTGGGACAGCCTGGCTTTCCTCATCCCAGCAAAAGGGCTCTTTATGAACCCAGCAGGAAACATCGGCTTCTCCAGCACCATCCACCCATCCCTGCATCCCTGGCTCATCCCTGGCCCATCCCTGCATCCTCCACCCATCCCTGCATCCCTGGCTCATCCCTGGCCCATCCCTGCANGATGGATATTTGGGGGCTTCAGGGGGGACCTTCTGGCTCTGCAACCCCCTGACAGGAGGGAGGAGCCGGGGGGGGGGTCGGGCTCTGCTCCCAGGGAACAAGGGACAGGAGGAGAGGGAACAGCCCTATTCCAGTCGGGAACAAACCTGAGCTCCACATCAAGCCTTAAACTCAACTTTATATAATCCAGGCCTCGTTCTGTTCCTGCTCCATTCAGATCCCTACAAACAGAGTGAATTTTTCAGCCATTAATAGGATCTATCTTTCCACTCCAGGGATCTTTAGAGCATCAATTATCTTGAACCTCATCTGATCTAACCACAGCTATTACCTCCTGTTAAAAACAGCTTTAATTTAGGCCAGGAATGGCATAAAAGGCATTCCAATAAACTTATGGCATTTTTCCTGGAGTTCTGTCAGGGAGAAAAAAAAAAAATCAGCGTCCACAGCCAGGTGAAGCCATGGAATTAATTCCCTGTAATTAATTGTGGAAATAATTAATTATTTTTTTTTTCTTTAATTCAAAAACACTGATGTCAGGAAGATTCAGGGCTAATTAAACATCATCAGAAAACGAGCTTGACACGAAAATAAAAATTTCAGCCTGACAGGAATTCTGCATTTCCAGCCCTGGGTGTTTATTTAATCTCCATGGCTTAATTTTCACCACTGGAAATTATTTCAGGGTGGGACTAAAAGTTCTCACCTTCCACTATCCCAGGTTGCTCCAAACCCCATCCAACCCGGCCTGGAACATTCCCAGGGATTCCTCTGTGACACCCTGTGGGATTTGAGGCTGCAGGAGGAAATCTGGGAGGAGAAATAAAGGAATATTTTCCTTTTTTCCCCCCTCTCTCTCATGTCAATCCTCCCAAAAATCACATTTAGGCTTTTTTGTCTTTCCAGACATTTGTCTTTCCCACTGTTTTTAGGTTTGGGATCAATGAGTGGAGCTGTGGAAGGGAGGGATGACTTGAGGGTGTCTCTGATCTGCTCCAGCTCCTCTTGCAGTGACTCCCTCGCTTCAGTCTTCGGCTCCAGGTTTTCTCTTTGCTGCCTTCCCACCCCAAAATTCCCACCCTTGGGGCTGTGCCTTTCCATCACCACACTGGGTCCAACTCCCTTTTAAGTGCCTTCAGGAGATCTCCTGGATCCATCAGGAACATAATCAGCAAATGAGCAGTGTAAGGATTTGGGAATTCCAGTCCAAAGCTTAAATAACACGTCCAAGATTCCTCTCAGCATTGAGGAATTTATGCAAAGATAAAGCAAATAATGGCCTTGGAGCTGCTTGGCATTTGCTGCTTTCAAAAGGGACTCATTAGCATTTCACACACACACACACATCCCAAATAATTCCAGAGTTTAGCTGAGACTCCCTGGAGCTGCAGTTTTAGTGAATGCTGCCCCTGGATCCTTGGAAGTGTCCAAGGCCAGGTTGGAGCAACCTGGAATAGTGGGAGGTGTCCCTGCCCATGGCAGGGGGTGACACTGGATGGGCTTTAAGGTCCCTTCCAACCCAAACCATTCCAGGATTTTATGAAGTGCCACTTCAGTCTGTGACAGTTTTGACAGGAAATCAAATCCCAGCCCTGATCCGGGACGGATTCTGGGTACAGAACGATGGGAAAAGGGACAGAAAAGCCCTTTGGAAGCTCTGGCACTGCCAGCACCAAGCAGTGCTCCCCCAGCCTGTGCCCACAGAATTCCCAGCCTGTGCCCACGGAATTCCCAGCCCTGGATTCTCCCTGGAGCTCCCGGTTCAGCATCTGCCCATCTCCAGAATCCAACAGCTTTTCCTGCTTTCCTGACCCAGCTCCCTCCTGCCATTTAAGCCAATTCCTGGTTTCTCCTTCAGGACAAAATTCTCCCTCTGAAGGCTCCTGTTCCCTGCAGCCTTCCTGGCCTTCTCCAGGAACAATCCTCATGGATCATTTCCCTGCTTTCTCCCGTAGCAGAAACTTTTCCTGCTCACCTGTCACTCCTCTGAGCTTTTCCATGGATTCACACCTTCTCCAAGGGACAATCCAGCACTGCCCAGCCCAGGCAGCACCACTTCAATTCCTTATGGAATTCCTCCTTCCCAGTGTGATACTCCTGCTTTCCAAAGGAGGCACGAGGAGGTTCCAGCCCATCCAGATCCTCCCTGCTGCCTGTTTTCCTTTGCAGGGAAAAGAAATTTTCCCTGGCAGATCCTGCCCCGTTATCCCAACACGTCTCACTTTCCCAACCTGTTCCAGACCCCAAAGTTGCCTCCCCACAGCCCTTCCCAGCCTGGTGGACCATGAAGAAGTTACAAAATTCCATTTAAAGGTGGGTTCCTGGTTGGATTGGATGATGGAAAAGTCTTTTCCAACCGTAACAATTCCATGATTCCATGATTTGACACACCAGCTCTTTCCAAGCCCAGCTAAACACACAACATTTTGGGTTTTCCCTGATCCAGAGTCTTCAGGAGCCAAGGAAAACTGGACACACTCAAATCTGACACTTCACATGCTCTTATATTCCAACAGAAGTCATGGCTTGCTCTGAATTCCCAACTCCCAGTATTTTAGGGCATCACAGGAGGGAATGTTACAGCTTATTTTAATGTGGTTTTACTAATAATGATACTTGGGAATGGGAACAAGACAGGAATTCCTTTATCCTGAAAAATCTGCATTAGAAATTCCCCCACAGCTGCTTTGCTCTGATTCTCCTTTATTCCGAGGAGAGGAATTTTATGATTCCATGTAAAGATTTTTTTTCCCAAACAAAGTGCACTTGGACAGGAGACACTGGCAGGGCAGGATACCCACAGGGAAAGGGGAGTTTCCAGCAGCTTCCAGCTTCAATTTTCCATAAGGAACTGCATGGAATGAGGTTTCCAACTGTAATGGCCCTGCATCCCTTCTCTTCCTCCTCCTCCTCTTCCCTGGAATTTCCACAGAAACTCATTGCTGC